GGCTAATCCCATTAATTGCAGTTTACGATTAGATACTTTTTCTAATTCCTCGTACCGATATTTATTCATTTTTAAGAGTTCATTTTGACGTAAACGAAAGAAGTGCCTTTGTTTAAGTGTATCTTCATATGTTTCGTTGATCGATACACCTGCTGCCACTGATGCTAATTTCTTACAAGTTTCTAAAAAAAATCAACAAAGTCATTAGAATTATATTAACTAGATAGATGAAGCATGACTTGTATAAAACAAAAAATTTGTAAATAGAAACCAGCTATTCTATGTAGATCAATAGCAAAAGCCAAAAATTAGAATGAATCAATTGCATGTATGCATATTTTAATTTCTTTTAAATTAAATAAATTTCTGTGTACGTAAAATAGTACTTAAAACTCTCTTGAAACTTAAGCAAGTTTATAAGCAATCTATTACGAGATAAATGCGAGCTCAATAAGTAAGTGTTAATTTCGTGTTGAAATTAAAAGGTAACTCTTTCCAAAAACTTAAGTTGTTTGATTATTTTTCGTACAAGTATTGACTGAATAGAAAAAGAGTTTTAGTCAGGTTTAAGAAGCCAAATTTACATATTATCTGTAAAAGACTTGAAATGCAATAATCAATGATTCTGAATCTGCTATTTCTATGATCGTCTCTAAGATACTAAGATAGAAACTTAATCTGTTTGTTAATTGATTTGACTAAGTGAATTACTTAGGCATTCGTTTTTGAAAAATTTATGTTATGAAGATTTATATGCAATTCTTATCGTAATCATAATAATACATATTTCATTTTACTGACCTTTTTTTTGTTTCTTTATCGCTAGCTACTTGATGTATTGAATCATCACATTTTTTATTTAAGAAAGATTTTTTATAATAGATCGGTTGTTGTGATATATCTGAAGCTTTAGAGGGATACAAATAATATCACAAGAGTCAACAATATTGAGCAGTGCTCATACCTTTATTCAATATATGATCAGTGGTCTTCTGTTTATCTTTGATGAATTTGTCTGAACATCTTTTAATAGTTGTTATGCTACTTTCTGTTTCTCCAGGAACAGGATCCTTGTTTAAAACAATAGTTTTTGATGAATTAACTGCAGAAAGAGTACTTGCAGACGTTGATTGAATATTACGTAAGAAATTAACTATAATAGAAAAATCGAAACAAAAAAGTTTAATAAAGAAGTAACTAACAATTATCAGATTGCATCGTTTTCGTCGTATTGATTAAAGACTTGGTTGTCGATATTTTTCCATTCAAAAATGTTATTGATTCATTAATAGATGTTGAAATTGCCGGCATCTAAAAAAGGATTGTTCGACAACAATTTATGTTATAAATATAATATTCATACAGATGAACTTGAAATAGAAGAATCCAAGTTAATGTTGCTTTCTGTTATTACAGATGTTAATGGATGTGGTATTTGTTGAAATGACGTATCTATTGTTTTGGACGTATAAAATACTTTACCATAAAATAGCATTAAAGCTTGTGGATGGTTTAAAACTTCAGCTGAAGATACGGTTCGACAGTGTACATCGTCGACAAGAAACCAAAGGTTGTCTACTGATCGAACATAACAATAATAATGACCACTGTTAAGATCATCACCTATATGATTGATGATGGCGTACAATTTGTAAAAAAAGTTATTTGATGAATCAATGTTTTCAGTTTTATCGCTTGAAGCAACTGAATAAGACGTCATATAAGGAAAAACATCTAGCAGTTCATTGT